TGGCGGTCACCTGAGTGGGACGACCCCCCCATCCTCTTTGACACTCCATCTATGAGCCATCACTTGTTTATTTACACAATTATTTAAGCATAAAATTTTGGGCTTTATCTATTTGAATTGTGCCACTTTTGCCTCTCTAGTTGAATCATATTCAATTTCTTTATATTTGATCTTGAAAACGGACAATCTTATTATGTTGATAATGCAGGGATTACAAACTTTAGATTACATTATATTCACAGGCAGAAGCTGGTTTATTTCATTTCATATGTACTGTATTTAACCTTTCATTATTGTACCAATATATATCCGTATTAGCAAAGGCCCTTTAGCTGCAGTAGCAACAGCGGAGCGCTCATTCTCTCCAGATAGCACTGTGATTGTATTTTCTCAATATCGAAGTTAAACTAAGATCATATTTACCATCTTGTCATGACAAAAAATGTGCAGGAGAGATAATAAACAATAAAAAACATTGGGCCCACCTAGATGGCTTGTACCTAGGACCCAGAATTTGGTGCTACGCCCTCTGCTCAAATCAACATTTTTTTCTGCTGATAAACTATATAGACGAGTGTCTAATCGTGCTGTAGACAAGTGTAGTCAATTATTTGGCACTTGGGTGCATCTTAGTTAAAATGTAATTATCGTGCCTAAAACAGTCAGTGCTGCGCCCTCTTCAGGTAAAAACTCTACACTGCATTTGAATTAAAACTTGCCATCGCTATTGGCCAAAGACTGGGGCACACTGAAGACAGACTATGTTTAGCTTTTCAGATTCTTCTTCTTCTTTTTTTTTTTTTTTACTTTTTTTTATTGCTCTAAAACCAGCAGCTGGAGATCAGCTGTTTTTCTTTGCCTGCTGATGTTCTGTGGTGTTTGTGTGCAAATTAGGTTATTATCATCTAAAGAATAATGCCAAAGTCTGCTCCATTCTCTCTCGGGCCAATACGGAGACACGGAAGCACGCTTTTATCACCAGTAGAATTGACTACTGTAATGCCCTGCTTTCTGGTCTTCCCAAAAAGAGCATTTCAGGCTTACAACTTTTACATAACTCTGCAGCCCGTGTCGATGGAGACCATGAGGTGGAAGCACATTACACCAGTTTTAGAATTGCTACATTTTCTCCCCGTATGTTTCAGGATCAATTTTAAGATTCTCTTATGGTTTTTAAGTGTATTAATGGTCTTTGGCCATCTTATCTTTTGGAACCGCTTTTACTGTACAAAACCTCATGGCCTCTGGAGGGGCCAGGTTATGGAGGACTTAGAATGTGATGCTCTGAGTGAGAGGAAGCTGCAGCAGCAGAACTTGGTTACTATATGTGGTCAGAGAATTCACTTTGGTTCACGTGAGCATCTCTTTGTTTGCAGAAAGCTTGTCTTTTTTTTTAGAAGAAAGAGCCTTAGGCTATTTAAAGTTAATATAGTGAAGGTATGGATTGGTTCGTCCAATCTGGGTTGATCCTATCCCCTCCTACCTTGGGAGTGGAAATGTGTTCCCCAAGTAAATAAAAAGGAGCATTTTAGCGTTGTTCTGGGGATTTCGTTTGGCTGAAGTCCTCCTGGGTCCTGATGCATCAAACCTGTAATGATGTGGACTCAGCTTCTTTCCTGAGTATTTCTCTTATCTGATGGCACCATCTATTGCACATATGTCAGAGTCAAGGCCCGCGGGCCAGATGCGGCCCGCGGAGCATTTTTATGTGGCCCGCGAGATAAATATCAAAAATATATTAAAACTGGCCCGCTGGCCGATTTTTACCACAAAGACTTCAACTCCCATGATGCTTTGCGGCATCAGCGCGGAGCCGACGTGCCCCCTCCTTTGTGTTTTTTCCAGCATCTGCTGCCGGTGTCTGCAGCTCCGCTGTCTCGGACAAACTACACTCCTCTCACTCAGCGCCGAGTTCACTCAGCTGTTTTCTGACGTTGAAGCCCAGAAACAGAGATTCTAGCCGCTCAGTAATGTGTTCACGACTGAAAGAGAAAGTTTTCCAACTAACTTCCAGACAGAGCTGATATAACTCCAGCGAGCAGCGACACGCTCAAACCAGCACGGCTCTGTGGTCGTGTTTCCTCCCCGACACACAACAACGTGGTCAAGCTGCTCAGACATGTTCAGCAGCACAAACCTATGTGAGCACCTGTTGTCATCTAATGTTGTCATTATTATGATGAAGATGAACAAAACAACAGGAGTCTCCTCCTCAGCTCAGATCAACCCCATGATGCAGGTATCTGGCTGGAACAGGTGAGCATCACAGTAAACCAGTGGAGCAAACTGAGCTTTAAATATGTTGGTTTGATGCTCTTTTTCTGCTCCAAAACATGAAAGTTAACAGGTGAGATGTTGCATTTTCATTTAAGATAAAATGATATTTTTATTTTGTTGTTGGCCCGTGAGAAAAGATTTAACCTACAGTAAACAGGAAGTGGAAAGGCTGCAGATAGATGAATAGAATAGAAAATCCCTTTATTGTTCCTCAGTGGGGAAAGCTAGACGTCACAGCAGCGATGACACGTATTACAGGAGAAAAAAGGAGAATAAAAATAAGAAAAATGAATAAACAAGAAAACATAAATCCTGAATAGATTTATAAAATGTTGATTATACCACAAGTAATGAATACCACTGATGCCTTTTATTTAAACCTGACTTGCTCGTGTGTCATTGGTTATTCCACATTCAGTGTTAATGCAGAAATATGTTTGTTTCCAAATTTAAAGGTTCAAAATTGCATATATGTTGATAAAGAAAATGTGCAAATTTGCCGTCACTTTGTCAAAAAATATTAAGTTTGGCCCTCGACTCCGTCCCAGAGTTTCATTTCGGCCCCGTGTGAGTTTCAGTTTGACACCCCTGATCTAGTGGCTGACAAGCATATCACACAAAAAGTTTGTTGCTCTGCTTTTTTAAGATGGCGAATTCACGTTTCTGTTAATAAATGTGCTTCTGTAGCCGGCCGACAAAACGAACTAAAACACGTTTTATGAGTATTCTCACATCATGTTGTGTTTTCTTATATTTAATTTAAAGACTCACTTGTCAGTGAAAAGTTCAGGCGCTCAGTTTTCTATTGCACAGAGCTCTGCGGGGGGGGGGGGGGGGGGGGTAGCAAAAAAATAGATAAAAAGGCGTATTGCTTACATTATATCACAGTACATGATGAGATGTCACTTTTACGGATTTCTGACAAATCATACATGACTTCTGAAAGGGTAAAACTCCGGAAAGCTTTCTGATGTCAAAGAGTCTGTCTCAGGGAGCCTATCTTCAGGACATACTCATCGTCTGATTCAAAGGTGGCAACCCCTGGCTGAATCCCCTACAGTGAACATGAGCGATGTGGTCATTGGAGCAGGTGTGAGTTAAGAGACGGGAAGCAGAATTCTGGATGTGTTGACGTTTGGTGAGGGTTTTGGATGAGATACCAGATAAGATTCTGTTGTATTCGTGGATTTGTGACTTGATGAATGCATGAAAAAGGTTTTCAGTGACAGAAAAAGAAAGGGAAAGACAACGACTGACAAAAATCCAATCTAATCACCTGACAAAACAGTTATCCAGATAACCTTCTCCACAAATGCACAGTTATTTCCCACCATGGGGGGGACTACTGAGCCTCTCTGCCCCTGGGCCTATCAGCTGGTTGAGGTGGCCCTGCCCACAACCTGTCAGAAATCACTCTAAAGGTAAAAATAAATCCTAAATTCACCAGATTGCCCACAAGAGGACACTGTCCCCTCACCTTGTCTACAGAGCTGACTCCAAACAGCAGCAGACCAGATCCGGTCAGAAAAAGACCCCAAAGACTGGACTTTAGTAAGTAAAGTCAGTCATAGCTGTCATGCAGCAGTAAATGTTCAATTGAGTTAGCATATTCTTGAAGAAATGGGGTGTGGTGTAATATGTATATATATATATATATATATATATATATATATATATATATATATATATATATATATATATATATATATATATATGTTTAATTGTGAAATGGGGGAAGCAGGAGCAGGAGGAGCTAAACAGTCAGAATGAGTTGTTGCTTGAATAACGTTGCTAACAGCTAAATAAACTAAAATCTCAACAATCTATAATTATTTTATTTTTCTGGTCTGATTTGAAAACAATGTAAAAGCTACATAACTTTCATAACCAAAGTTCAACAAACTCCAGTCGGAGGTGCAGCAGCAGATAAACTGGTTTCTAGTCACTTTCGGTGTTGCCAACTGTTTTTGACTGAAAGTAGCTGAAGTTCCCCCCAAAAGTCACTAGATGTCGCCAGATGACGTCACGTGCCAATTTACATATTGATGACGTCATCACGCCACATTATCGTCGTTTCCCCCATAGCATCTAATATATATATATATATATATATATATATACATATATATATATATATATATATATATATATATATATATATATATATATATATATATATATTTATATGTATAATAGGACTAAAAGGGAGGAAAATAACAAAGACTATGTCATGTGTTAAAGTTATTAATTAGTATGATTAAAATGGCCCAAGTTGCTTTGATATGTACAATAAATTCCAAAGGTATCAATAAAGTGACTTGAAGACAGATATGGTGTGGTGACCCAAACAGTTCTCTAGTAGGATATAACTCAGACCTCCTGCTCTCCTCATTCTCACAGACATTTTCCTAAAAAGCTGTTTTTTTTACACCTCATAGTTTCCCAACTTCTCTGTTGTGTATTCTCTCCATCGTGACAATAACGGCGCACCGAGCAAAAGGGAGCGGGTGTCTCATGGTATAACCATCCCTGTGTCACTGAAGGAAATTCAGATGAGCCACAGAGCTGCGTGTGTAAACGGGACGGTAGTTGAAACTCCCGATGACTGTATTTGCCAAATGCAGGAAAACCAAAGTGTCTGACGGCTGCAGAACCAGAGATGGCAGGTTGACGCCCGCGTCGTCTCTAGTAGAAGCGTGAGCCTGCAGCAATATGAAAGCAGCAGACGTAAATCGGCGGTCTCCAGCTCTGCAACTGTACCTTTGTCTTCGGCGAATCGGCCCGGCCGAAAACGGTTTATGATTGGTCAGTCCTCGTGCACATGTGCAGATTATCGTTCTCTTTCCTTACTCCCGGAAGAACGGTTCAGAGTGCAAATGGTTTCTTTGTTGCTAATCTGTAGGGAATATCTACATGAAAGTTCTACAGAAAGTAGCAACGGGTCCTGAGAAATGTCGCTAAGTTTGTCGCTAGGCGCTTTTTGGAAAAAAAAGTCGTTAGGAACAGTGACAAAGTCGCTGAGTTGGCAACACTGGTCACTTTCCAGAAGTGAAACAGAAACTGACCCAGAGCTGCAGTCGAGACCAACTTGTGTGTTTGTGTCTGAAGGAGGACTAAACTGAGTTGATCTTTTCTTCTCCGACAACTGACTCAGATATCGGTGAGTAAAACTGATCATATTTACTGTGTTTCAACAATCAGCAGGAAAACTAAACTCAGATTCAATCAAACAGGAAGTTTGACTCTTTTCTCTTCCTGCTGAAACTCCGCAGATAAACTCATCTGAAGTGAAATGAAACCAAAACATTTTAATAACAGTAATATTAAACTGTACTGATTCCATCTGCTTTCATCTGTAGTTGTTCCTCTCTGACTCTTGTTCTCAGAGTTCAGACATGTCCGCTGGCAGAGGCCTGAGATCTGAGGATCCGTTTCTATGCTCCATCTGTCTGGATGTGTTCACTGATCCAGTCAGCACACCATGTGGACACAACTTCTGTAAGACCTGCATCGCCACACACTGGGATGGCGACAGGAGCTGCCAGTGTCCCGTCTGTAAAAAGGTGTTGAAAACCAGACCTGAACTGGAAGTCAACACCTTCATCAGAGAGATGGTTGATCAGTTCAGACACGAAGCTGAGCAGAAAACCAGCAGCAGCTCAGAGCAACAAGCTGCCAAACCAGGAGAAGTTCCCTGTGACGTCTGCACTGGAACCAGACTGAAGGCCCTGAAGTCCTGCCTGGTGTGTCTGCTCTCCTACTGTGAGACTCACCTGGAGCCTCACCTGACAGCTTCATATGTGAAAAGTCACCAGCTGGTGGATCCTGTGGAGAACCTGGAGGACAGGATGTGTCAGAAGCACGATAAACCTCTGGAGCTGTTCTGTAGAACCGACCAGACGTGTGTCTGCTCACTCTGTCCTGTTTTAGACCACCAGACTCATGTGCTTGTTTCTCTGAGAGAAGCATGTGAAGGCAAGAAGGCAGAGCTGGAGAAGACAGAGGCTGGAGTTCAGCAGAAGATCCAGAACAGACGACTGAAGATTCAGGAGATCAAAGAGTCGCTGAAGATCAGTAAAGATGCTGCAGACAGACAGAAAGCAGAAGGTGTTCAGGTCTTCACTGACCTGAAGGAGTCTGTTGAGAGAAGCCTGAAGGAGCTCATAAAGGAGATCGAAGACAATCAGAAAACTACAGAGAAACAGGCTGAAGGCTTCATCAAAGATCTGGAACAGGAGATCTCTGAGCTGATGAAGAGGAGCTCTGAGGTGAAGCAGCTCTCATGCTCTGAAGACCACCTCCACCTCCTCCAGAACTTCAGCTCCCTGAAAGCTGCTCCACCCACCAAGGACTGGACAGAGGTCAGAGTTCATCCTCCATCAGATGAGAGGACTGTAGTGAGAGCTGTGGAGCAGCTGGAGGAGAAACTCAGGAAGAAGATGAAGGACCTGATGGAGGCTGAGCTGAAGAAGATCCAGAAGTCTGCAGTAGATGTGACTCTTGATCCTGATACGGCACATCCTCTCCTCTTCCTGTCTGCTGATGGAAAACAAGTTCACTGTGGTGATGTGAGGAAGGATCTTCCAGACAACCCGGAGAGATTTTCTCTATGTGCGTGTGTTTTAGCGAAACAGAGTTTCTCCTCAGGCAGATTTTACATTGAGGTTCAGGTTAAAGGAAAAAGTATGTGGGCTTTAGGAGTGGCCAGAAGGTCCATCAACAGGAAGGGAATAATCACACTGAGTCCTAAAAATGGTTACTGGACCATTGGTTTGAGAAATGGAAATCAGTACAAAGCTAGTGCTGGTCCTTCAGTAGATCTCCATGTTGATTCTGGTCCTGAGAAGGTGGGGGTGTTTGTGGATTATGAGGAGGGTCTGGTCTCCTTTTATGACGTAGGAGCTGCAGCTCTGATCTACTCCTTTATTGGCTGCTGCTTCTCTGATAAACTCCACCCGTTCTTCAGTCCTTGTTTTAATGTTAGAGGTAAAAACTCAGCTCCTCTGATCGTCTGTCCTGTTGATCCATCAGTCTGATCTTTTCTATCATGAAGCTCCGTCATAGGCGTCATTTTAACCGGGGACATGTCCCCGGCAAAATTTGTGATTGGCAGCTGTGTTCCCCCCCCCCACTTTCAAAGAAGCCTGCTGATGAGGATTTTTGTTTTACCAGCTCAGATCTTATACCAGGGGTCGGCAACCTGTTCCCATCAAAGAGTCATTATTACCCGTTTCCCACAGTAAAGAAAACACCGCAGCAGCCGCGGCGTTGTGGGCGGGGCCTACCCTCAGACAGCAGAGAGCTGCTCACGACAGGTGACAGCAGCCGGTACCGGTCGCTCGCATGGGCGTCGCACCCGTGGGGGATTCAACACCCACACTTTTCCTTTTGTTTTGCTCACCTCCACACCAGTCTGGTTTCTTTACGTTGCACTCACTCTGTTTGCCTCATCTCCTTCTTCACCTCCCGCTTCTGACAGCCGATGTCGGGTTTCCAGGAGAGCAGGAGAGGGAGGGACGGAAGAGCTCGACTGAATAATTTTACATCTTGACATTAGCTGTACAAAGTCTGAGTTTGATAACGTGAAGAACAACAATTTGCAGAGGTTTATAACAGGCGCGGCGCCAGGTTTTCATTTTTGGGTGGGCCACGGTAATTTTGGACGGACCTTAATAAGCAGTGACTTAAGTGAAGCAGGCAGGTCGCGCTAGAAAATTTCGTTTAAAAAGACGTCATAAATGTGTTCCCCCGTCATTTTTATTTCTAAAATATGAAGTAAAAACTCACAATTTAATTTTCATTCATTTGTCATTAATATGTAGTCTACACCCGTGCGTTAAGTGGACCATCTTCCAGTAAACGCAAAGCATCCAGCCCACCTCTCCAAATGCGTAAAATGTGCATCAGCCGCTAGTTAGGCGCGCCGCGCGCACCGTCAGCTACGTCAGCCCAGACAAGAGCAGAGCAACTAGACAGAATAGAGGATAATTGTGTCTGGATGTGGATGGAGATTACATTTTACAGCAGCCTGATCATCATTTAAATACATAAACCATCACCTGGCTTCTAGTCCACGCTATCAGCATTATTTTAATTGGTCTGTGTGTGTGTGTGTGTGTGTGTGTGTGTGTGTGTGTGTGTGTGTGTGTGTGTGTGTGTGTGTGTGTGTTTTCCACTTCAAACACTGCTCTAACCAACCAGACCAGCATGTCCAGTAACATATTAATGTTTCACTTCATGTAGGCTAGGAACGTTTCACCTGCCGTGGCCCGACCGCTTCTGCTCCACATGAACTTTGTGCGTGATCAAATGTCTCTACAGGTGCTTTCTGAGCTGAAGAGGCTATTCTGCCTCAGACTGGATGCGTCATGCGTCTCCATATTAGAGACGGGAACAAGCGCTGTTCAGCCAAAGTTTCATAATCTGAGAACATTTTTCCAAGTGACACATCCCTCAGAGAGACGGGATTTCCAGACCGTTCCAGTGGGAGGAAATCTTACCGCATCGCTGTGGTTCTGTGCTGCGAACCCCTCTGCAGATCTTCAGCCCACTGTCCACCGTGTTTGCTCCGATCCGCGCTGAACACAGTATCCAGTATAAAGCTCTGATGTTCTGATGGGAACCATTTCTTGATTTAGTTACCTCTGCGATGTGCGTAACGATTAAAATGTCAGCTCATCTGTGTGCGCATCAGTGTGCGTCGGGGTAATTCTTTCAAGACAACCAACATCCTTGAGTTTATCCGTCAAAATAAACAGTCAAATGGAAATATCTGTAACCTGCCATTTAACTGTTTTGCCTTCTTGTGAAGATTGTTGCAAAGAGAAACAACTAAACCTGATTAACCCCAGAGCCACGCGTATAAGCTGCACTTCTGACTGTAAATGAGGGGAAACGATTTAATCGGATCCTTTTCTCTTCAACATGGTTTAATGTAAAGTTTCATTCAGTACAAACTTTAGTTACACCGATCTAACGAGACAGAGCCTGGATTTGTATTCTGAACAGTTTAAACATGTTTAAAACGGAGACGTGCGTGACGCGTCTAAAATTCGCACCTGCTCCGCTATTATGGAAATTAAACTAACAAGATGAATAACATGAACTTATTTTAGGCACAGACAACATCCCCCACACTTTTGAAAAGTTTGCAATGCGCCTGGTTGCTCGTGTACGTCAAAGTTATCTTTCATAAGAAGATAATCAATAAAACAATTTATATAAAATGGATCCAGAAGTTGTAGCCCGTCTCTGCCTACAATATTTTGATATTTTTCACCCTGTTGGTGGTTTTACTGAGCAGGTGCCACTTTTGTCATACATTTCTTTTTAAAACGCTGCGAGCACAAGCGTGACGCGTCAACCCGGTCTCACAGTAAGACCGGGTTGGACCTGTTCAGGTTTACGCAGACAATCTTTACATTTAGAATTAGCTTACAGATGTAAAATTAATGCAGTAAAATATAAATCATTTTATTTAAATATCCATTAATTATTTTACAAGCACAGAGAGCCGCATCAGATGGATGGAAGAGCCGCATGCGGCTCCAGAGCCGCGGATTGCCGACCCCTGTGCTAGCCAACTTTATTGTCCCCAGCAATTTTTAAACCCCACTCAAGTGTGTGGTTATTGTCCCCAGCTATTCTGAAAACAAACTGACGCCCTTGAGCTCCGTGAACAAAGAGTCTGTTCAAAGTTCTGATCTGAGAGACTCTGTAAGGCAAGGCAATTCTTTTTGTAAAGCACATTTCAAACACACAGTTAAGTGCTTTACAGAAGCAAGAACAGCAAACACAATAAACCAAACAAAGACATGTAGATATTAATTTTTGATTCAACAAACAGATGATGTTCCATATAAATATGAAATATCAATCTGGTTGGTCTTTGAATGTTTAATCAGAAGACTTTAGATAATTTTACTTATTCAGGGAACATGCACACTTCATATTAATTCAGAAAGAGTCAAGTTTATAGTTTATAAAAATGAATTCATTTCTATTTCCCTAATCTAATGATTATACAAGACGAGGTATGAATGAAATGATGGAATGGAAGCTAGATGTTTTAGCGAAACCTGTTTTAAGTATCTGAGAAAGATTGTGGAATCTGGGTTGTAAAATCAAGTTGACTGTATAGTTTGATAAACTAAATAAAAACACCATTCGATGCCAGTGTGCAGAGTCCACGATACCCTTGTATGTGTGCACTCCCGGCTGTCCGGAGGAAAGGCAGCCCGAGTGGTGAGTTCACCAGACGTCGAGACCACAAGAACCCAAAGATCCGTAGCTCTCCTTGAATTCAGCTTTCACTGGCCATGAGATGTGTTGGATAAATTATGGATACATTATTATTTTAAACGAAAGCTTCATTCAGCTAAATTTTCCCTGGCAACAGACAGGCGTTTGACCTTGCCTCTTCCCAGTCCTGGCTTATCAGTAGGAACGCCCTGTGCCAGCGCCTGGGTGTCTCCCTTTCTAGAGTCTAAAGGAATGTGTAAATGTGTGTGCGTTTTATCATTTTTGTGTGTCCTTAATAAATACTCTTGGAGGGCTTTGTCTGACGAGAGCGAATTGACTACTGACTCGTGTGTTTCATTGATCTCTCTCCACTTTGCAAAGTCTAAATTGTTTGGTTATTGGTAAAGATTGGTATGGGTTAAATCGATCAGCTTGTTAATACAACCCCTGCGTGTTGAGCTTTCCCTTCAGGTAACCCTGGATGGGAAAATTAAAATACCTATCATTTTGGTGCCGTGACCCGGATTCAGTTCGGCCGCTGAGGGTTAGTCTCCGGGGGTCCGCCTCCTGCTTCGGTCCGAGGGGCTGGACTTGCTTCTCGGCCAGCTGGATGGCTCCGTGGGACTCCTCCCTCTGGGTGTCTCGCACGCGTCGGACTTCGGGGTGACTCCGCCGCGCAGGGGGGATTGGGATTGGATTGGAGGAGTGAGTGAGTACCTCTTATTTGCATTCTTGCATATATAAAGCTGGTTGACGTGACAGTGTGTTTTACGTGTGTCTGCACTTCCGAACGCGGGAAACGTCCCATGTTTTAGCAAGGAGCTTGAATCTGGTTCGGGTGAAATGGCGTTGAAATAGTCGAAACCGGGAGCCGCTAACTCGTGCCCTAGGTTCAGCTGCTCTGACAAGGCAGATTCCCGATGAAAAGTTGAAATATGCAGAAAGGCTGGTCAGAAATGCCGCTGGAAAGGTTTTAATTAGGTCTGTGTCGCAGGAGACACAGTCCGCCCCGCTGTGAGATGTCATTGTGGGTCGTAATACTATCGGAACTGCAGACAACTGGTAAATAAGAGATTAACTAAACAAGCGCTGCGTTAAAGTGGCCACAATATCTTTGCACAACCAACCACTGGGTTGGCAATGTTTATAGAAGTTCGTCATAAACTCCAGTAAACACACTGTCACTCTGATACGTTTGGCTCCTCTTGTAATCACATTGTCGTGTGGATTGTTTAACGGTTTCCTATTGCTGCTGAGGTACAAACATTTGGACACCGCTGCTTTTGGCTTAAAACCTCAAGTCAAACTAAACATCATGGTTTGTGTGCTCCTCATCGGTTTTTGGTGTTGTGTCTGTTGTTTCCGTCCGCCGCTTTATGATCATTGTTGTTTGTGTGGCTTTGTGGGTTTTAATTGTGCCGGAGCTCTGTGCTGAAGAGCTTTGGCTGTCCTTTGATCCATCTGGGTGTGTGAAAACTGGCCAGTTGTGCCTGGTTCGGTTTCGTGTGTGTTGTGGTGTGTGTGTGTGTGTGTGTGTGTGTGTGTGTGTGTGTGTGTGTGTGTGTGTGTGTGTGTGGAGGTGTGCATGTATCGGGGACTTTAAGAATGTTACTTGTGGCAGGTTCGGTTTGTGTGTGTGTGTGTGTGTGTGTGTGTGTGTGTGTGTGTGTGTGTGTGTGTGTGTGTTTGTGTGTGTGTGTGTGTGTGTGTGTGTGTGTGTGTGTGTGTTTGTGTGTGTGTGTGTGTGTGTGTGTGTGTGTGTGTTTGTGTGTGTGTGTGTGTGTGTGTGTGTGTGTGTGTGTGTGTGTGTGTGTGTGTGTTTGTGTGTGTGTGTGTGTGTGTGTGTGTGTGTGTGTGTGTGTGTGTGTGTGTGTGTGCGCATGTATCGGGGACTTTAAGAATGTTACTTGTGGCAGGTTCGGTGTGTGTGTGTGTGTGTGTGTGTGTGTGTGTGTGTGTGTGTGTGTGTGTGTGTGTGTGTGTGTGTGTGTGTGTGTGTGTGTGTGGAGGTGTGCATGTATCGGGGACTTTAAGAATGTTACTTGTGGCAGGTTCGGTTTGTGTGTGTGTGTGTGTGTGTGTGTGTGTGTGTGTGTGTGTGTGTGTGTGTGTGTGTGTGTGTGTGTGTGTGTGTGTGTGTGTGTGGAGGTGTGCATGTATCGGGGACTTTAAGAATGTTACTTGTGGCAGGTTCGGTTTGTGTGTGTGTGTGTGTGTGTGTGTGTGTGTGTGTGTGTGTGTGTGTGTGTGTGTGTGTGTGTGTGTGTGTGTGTGTGTGTGTGTGTGTGTTTGTGTGTGTGTGTGTGTGTGTGTGTGTGTGTGTGTGTGTGTGTGTGTGTGTGTGCGCATGTATCGGGGACTTTAAGAATGTTACTTGTGGCAGGTTCGGTGTGTGTGTGTGTGTGTGTGTGTGTGTGTGTGTGTGTGTGTGTGTGTGTGTGTGTGTGTGTGTGTGTGTGTGTGTGTGTGTGTGTGAAGAATTGGCTGGAGTTCCGAGGGGGTGTACAGAGAGGGAAAGAAACGGAGGTTGTTGCGTTAAGGATAATCTTGGGAGGTTTAGGGGCAAATTAAGGTCCGGTCGATGAGCGTGGGAGGGAGTCAAAGTCTGACTGGGCCACATTTTCACCTTCTGTCCCCAGAACAGGGGGAATTATAGAAACCCTCAGAGGTTTAGCCGAGTGCAGGTTAATCCACATCGTGACTGCGCCTGGTTATTACTGACCAAATAATATCTTATCAATTGAGTAAAGGCCTACAGGGCTATAAAATAAAATTAAAAATCAAATGACATAAAATTTAAAATCTAAATGGTGGTCAAAAGGGAGTCTCCAAATTGTAGTTTTACCCTAAAATAAAAACAAATTAAAAGTTGAAAGGGCTCCTGCAACAAACCAAAATAAATGTGGCACAACTATTAACTATTTATTGCTCTTGTGACCCGAGTATTTTATTTATTTATGGTGGATGGTTATGACTATGGATGAAAAGTTTGGTTTAAAGTAATCTAGATTACACACGGTTCCCCTGCTACCATGTGACTGACTCCGTCATATTGATCTTTTACATGCAGTTAATTGTATATTGGGTTTTTCTCTTTTTACTTTCTGGGAGTAGTAATTTTCCAAACCTTCATATCCAGACAGGGGATTTCGGGTGATGACAACCCAAAACCCGGGTATATATGAGGCCCAAAGTGCCCGTTTGAATTCAAAACTACAGATGGGGTATTCCAAAATAATGGTTGTCATCATTTGAATCTCTCCGATATCTGATATTCTGTTAAACTGTTTAGAAGTCTGAAGTGAAATGAGAAAGTCACAACTGAGGTGACTCACATTTGCTTCGTTTTTCTTGTGTTGTTCATGGTGGCCACCTTAAGATCTTCATTTGGTTTGTTTTTTCTTTTGTTATAAAAAGTCTTCGAGCGCCTCAAGGCCTGCAAGCCATAGGAATTGGATTTGGGTTTAATGTATTCTATACATTTTTTTGTTTTTTTTCCTTTAGTTAGACTAAGTGTTCGATTATGGATTGAGATGTATTGACTAGTAGAGCGATAGCCAATCAATCAATCAATCAATCAATCAAACTTTATTTCAGACAAGGGATATGTCCATAACAAGAATAAAAAATAAAAATAAAAATAAAATACAAACACATTCTAATTACAAACCGTATAGGCAGTTGCTCCAATGTTTAAAAAGGACTGAGGAGTACCTCGTGTCACTGTAAGATAAAGATGACAGAGCTCTAACAACCGCGTTAGCTGAAAAACTCAGTCGGCAGATGAATTTGTACATGAAGAGCCTCAGAAGCGCATGAAAAGTAGGAATGTTACTCACAACAAACATGTGACTTGCCGAAGTCCATCTAGGGAGCTTCATGAGGATTCTAAAAGCATCCTGATAAGCCACTTGAAGCTTCTTCATTACTACCTTACTATAGTTGCACCACAAGTGGGCGGTATAGAGAGGAGTACAAAAGGAACGAAAGAGGGACACTTTAACAGGATCTGAGCACATGCCAAAGTTACGTGCCAGTGTGTTAGCCTGCATGTACAGCTTACCGCATTGCCTCTTAATGTCCTCGTCATCACAGAGGTCACTTCTTAAAATGTGCCCCAAATATTTTACTTTGCTTACCACTTCGAGGACCTGATTTGTTAAGTTAAAAGATGGAAAATTAAGCTTCAGGTCCCCTTTAGTAGCAGCAATCATAACCACACTCTTTTTAGGCTTAAACAGGATGTCAAATTGCTCACCATACTTAGCACATGCCCTGAGCAGCTGCTGCAGGCCTGCGCTGTAGGGAGACATGAGAACTAGGTCATCCGCGTATATTAAATGATTTACCAGTCGGTCACCCACCAAGCATCCAGTCTTACTAGCATTCAGAGTAACAGACAGCTCGTCAAGGTACAGGTTAAAAAGGACAGGTGACAGAATCCCTCCTTGTCTGACTCCATTCGATACGGAGAAAGGATCCGACTCTTCTGTCCCCCACTTTACCTGCATCAGTTGATGAGAGTACCAGAAGTGCAAAATCCTAACTAGGTAAGAAGGGATAGTGACCATCTACGGTGAATCATTTGTTTGGTATCCTGCCGAATATCTCAGTCTAACTACCTCGGTCCTTCCAGGAATGCAAACACCAGCCAGAAATCCCAGTCGAACCAAAATCCCACTTTAGGCCCAAAGTTAAAAAAATTCCCCAATTTACTATTCCTTTTGTCCCCTGAAGCAATGCCTTTTTAGGTTCCTGTGCATTCTGACTCACAATTTTTTGTTTTTGGTTTGTTTTCATCTACAAAACTTAAAGCACAACTTACAAAATCCCACTATTTTTATCAAAGCAATCACTAATTGTCTCGCTGACCTTTAACGTTCAGCCACTTCTCTGAAATCCTTGTTTACGTGGATGATGGTTTGATTGCATCTGGCGGTGCAGAGTTTTGCCTCACAGACTCTCATGCCTTTTTGCAAAATCTTCACCTAACAGGGAACAAGGTCAGTAAAAAGAATCTGTAGTGGGTAAAGAAATCTCCAATCCAGTGTTTTGGGACACACTGCTGTCAGGTAAAGGCAGATCCAGTCAGGAAGACAGGAAACCATGTTGAATGCCCCAACACCCCTGACTACGGAGCAGATGTTGCAGTTTTAGACCTTCCTAAGTAATCCCCCGTAATGCAGAAATGACCCAGCCCTTTACACATTTCTCTTTTCCAGTGTTGGGCAAGTTACGTCAGAACTGTAATCATTATTTATTACTTGTTACCCTCATTTTAAAGAAATTCATTACATTACAATATTACTGATTTTAAAATGTAAGGCATTACACTACTTTTGCATTACTCTAAGTTACTTTCACCAAAACAGCTTCAGTATGAATCTGGTCATGTGACGCTCAGTGAGCTCATGACATATATGTGGAAGGTGATGTGGTGTCTGAGCTAGGATTGCTGTTAAAAACAGTCAGATATAATAACAGTGCTTTAAATGATTGTTTATTAAATAAAAGCAACAACAATCTGTACTCTCAGCACGCTGCCATCTTATATTAACTGATCAGGAACTGAGGTGGTGGGGGCTCCAAGCCTATATTTGCCTTGGTCCCCAAATGCCTTGATACGGCCCTGGATGTGGGACTGACTTCTGGGGTGATCTGATTCTATCACATGTATAAATATTAAATGCTCATATATTATTGCTTTTCACTGGTAAAAATGTGTATTGGGGATAAATCTACCTACTTTTTTTCTTTTCAAGCACTTTGTTTTGTTTTCTTGATTTTACTTGAATAATTTCCTGCCCTTTCTCTCTCTAACCTTCCTGCATGCTGCATGTTTTCTCCGTCTTCCATAAAAAGCTGTTTCCTAGACTTCCTACTTTCTAACTATCAGCCAAAGGGATCTTCAGATGCGCGGCGCTCCAGCAGTAATGAGTTGAAATCACCGGGGCACAGATTATGAACTCAGCTGAGGCAAAGCACGTCAGAAAAGCACAAAATACCAGAGAATATGCGCTGATATGCAGTGGCGGCTGGTGAAAAATATTTTTGGTGGGGCTGTGCTATTTTTTATTTTTAAACAAACTTGTGCTTTCTGAGCTTTGTGCACAACTTCACTATTTCCTGAATTACGCACAGCTCTTTTATTTCCTGTCTTACATCATTGGACAAACTGATTAATCCAGGTGTGTCTGACTATTGGCAAGCTGCCTTGCGGACCAAAGTTGAAAAATACTGCATTAAATTGCACATAAAATAACATGACCATAAATGGTAAATAGGCAATGCAAGAGGCAAGTAACAAAAACTTTTTGTTTAATTTCAACATTTGAGTGAACACGAAAAATTATGAGCAGGTCACTGTTACAGTAATGGTAGTAAACACCACTTAGACAAAATGCCAGAAATTTACACTGTTAAATATTTCTGGAGTGTTGTGCCAAGGTCAACTTTATACAAAGATCAAGTGGATGCATTTGTGTGCGTGTGTGTGTGTGTGTGTGT